TATGTAAGATGCTTCAATTGATTTTTCATCATGCTCTTTTAGATTTGTGTTTTCCTTTTCTTTTCTTTTCTTTTTTCTTTTTTCTTTTTCCCCCCTTTTTGAATGAAACTGGATACTGCTATATTCACTGAAAAGAAACAGTTTCCAGAAAACCAACAAGAAGCAATCTTTCATCATATTCCATCTTCTAAGAAAGATGGCATATGATCAAAGAGACAAAATTATCATCTACAATATGACCATAAGTAGCTAACCTATGAGCAACTAAGTTAGAATCCCTATACATGAAATTAATCGATGTGTTTCCCTTTTCTGGAAAAAATAATTTAATCATAGCATCTACTGTTTATTTTTACCCTTTTCTTAAATGATGTTTTTCTTAATGACTTTCAAATTTTATCTTTCCAATCACACTGCTTAATGCTCACCATTTCACCCCCTTTTGTCGTATAATTATATACAGACACATTCTTTATGATAGAATTTGGAGTGATAATTTGTTGCTTCCTTTGTGCAGAGGACTTGTGCTTCTTATGCATGGACTTAATGAACACAGGTTTGCAGTTTGTTCTTAATTCAAGTTGGCTACCATTTCAGTTCTTACAATTATATAATCATTGATGCAGTTCTGATTTCTAAAGTCAGCCTATTATTCGTTAACAGTGGCAGGTACTGTGATTTTGCAAAGAAGCTGAATGCTAATGGATTCAAGGTTTACGGGATGGATTGGGTTGGTAAGTCAGAACAAATTGCATTCCTTGATAGTTCACTTTCTAAGCATTTATTGTGCTATCAAATATTCTTAAAAGTTGGCTTTTGGAAATGAGAACAGGCATATGGAAACATGACAGTGCACTATCAGATTCTTCTTGATTGACCGTACTTTGTTCTAGGTTCTTGTATGTGAATCAAAAAACTTTCATATTTGTGACCACCATCATTTTATTGTCCTCATTCAATGTATCACTTGTATTATTATTGCTTAAAATTAAAAGTCATATAAAAAATCCAAATCAAATAATACAAAATATTAAACTGCTAAAAGAACATTACTTAATGTGTATTGAGAAGATCGGTGTCCTATTTTCTTTATGAATCTCTTTTTCAGGCCAGGATGTATTAATTGCTGGTTCATTGTAAGATCTCAGATTAGAAGTTCTGGGGGGAGATAACTAATAACAAATTGCCTCATTTACCCTGCTATCGCTGTGAAAAGATTATTCTCAAGGTACCTATGAGGGATTGCTTTTCTTGGGTGAAGTCATCAAGACTACTTCTGAGCTCTGACTGAAGGCTTGTTAGGATTTTATAGTTATTTTCTTAAAGGGAAAAAAATTAGAAATGCATAAACGGAGTTTAGTTATTGTATTAGGTCTCAAGAACTTCATGATAGTGGATATCTGTTTATTTCCTTCTCGAGGAGACTTGCATTCTTTTATTTTTAATAGCACTATGCCAAGCCAAAGGTGTGCAGTTTCTTTAATAAAACTGCCGTTCTTTAATTTATGATTATCACAGAGATGTTACTGTGATAGAGATTGTGTTGTGTGACTTTATCTCTTTAATGTACTTCCTCTGTGTCTCTTTTGGCATGGAAGTTCTTATTGGCCAGATTCTGATTTTTAGTGTTGTCCTTAGCATCATTAATGATAGTGTCTTGCTTACTGATTTTGAAGAATATATAAATGGTTCAACTGACATCCCTAGGTGCCTCTTAGGACAAGACTGGGGAGAGTTAAGTCATGTTCCTCATATTTTCAATTATTCTTCTTAGATTAAGATTTGGCTTAGTTAATAAATAATAACACTTCTTCAGTAATTTACTTATGTAGTTCTTGAACCGTTCTTGGTTAAATGGAGTAATGAACTGTTCACTTAGGTCCTGTTTTGGTTGCTAGAATGGATGAGAATGGAATTGATTAAAAAAATCGAAACAAAAATGAATTAAATCACTTTTTTTTTTCATGGTGAGCACGATAAAACTTAATACTATATATTACAAATGTGGGAATCAGCACACCTTCTAAAAATCTCTTGAATCATTATTTCTAACCTCTAGAATTAAATTATCATTTTCCCTAATAAAAATCGTTCACTTATCCCCTTCCATATCTTTTTTTTACCTTTATTTTTTAAATTCATTTTATTCCATTCCTTTTTTGTAATCAAACAAGACCTTATTTTTCTATTATCTCTATGATCACTCCCAACTAGAATCTATACTGTATATTGTCCTAAAATGTGAATGTTAATAATGATGAGGCTTCAAGGCTGGGGTATTTGGAGGCAAAGCATGTGTAGGTTTCAGATATATTGGTAAGAGGCCATATGATCCCTTCTAACCTGTTCAGCAAATTTCAGTGCTCTATATTCACTCTTGCAGAATATGTTTTCCTTTTTTCCTCCTCTTGTCAAAATCCACCTAATGCTATTCTCTTTACTCCAGGCCACGGCGGAAGTGATGGGCTACATGCATACGTGCATTCTCTTGATGACGCTGTTTCTGACATGGTAAGTTCTCTGATCTACAAGAACTTTATAGAGCCTTGTTCAATCAAATGGTTATAAACTTTATTTCTGTCCTCACAGCTGTTCTGATTCAGAATTGTTTCTGTCTGACATTGCACAGAAAGTTTTTCTTGAGAAGGTTCTTATTGAAAATCCTGGGCTTCCTTGTTTTTGCTTTGGACACTCAACAGGTGCAGCCATTGTTATTAAGGTATAACTAGAACAAAATAAATTTCTTGCAACTCTCAAGTTAAGGGAAAAAAGTTCAAGGACATAAATGGATTCAATATTTTTCTGCTATCTGTACTGTAGGCACTGCTGGACCCAAAGGTCGAAGCTTGTGTATCCGGTGCAGTCGTGACCTCACCTGCAGTTGGAGTCCAGGCTTCTCATCCAATATTCTTGGTGAGCAATGCATATTCTGTTTGCTCCTTCCAGTTTATCTGACCATAAGTGCTAACGTCTTATTTTATATTGCTGATATATAAAACATTGTATACTGGCATACGCGTGCACTAATGAGAAGAATCAGGAATTCGTCTAATCTCCATACCGTCTTCATTGCAGGCACTTGCCCCTATCGTTTCATTGCTGCTGCCTAAATATCAATTTAATTCTGCCTATAAAAAGGGTTCAACGGTTTGTCGAGATCCAGATGCACTAGTATCTAAATATTCTGACCCACTAGTGTGTACTGGATCGCTCAGAGTCCGAACAGGTCATGAGATTATCCGAATCACGACCTACTTGCAACAAAATTTGAGAAATTTCAAAGTTCCGTTCCTGGTTCTCCATGGCACTGCCGATACAGTTACTGATCCCGCTGCTTCTAAGAAGTTGTATGAAGAGGCCTCTTCATCTGACAAAACCATCCATTTATTTGAAGGATTGTTACATGACCTCCTTTTTGAACCAGAACGTCATGCTGTCACGCAGGAAATAATTCTGTGGCTGAATAGTAGAGTGTGAGGTTAGATGGTGTCTTGGCTTCATGGAATTGTTCACGGAGAGAACGTCTCTGGTGTTCCTTTCCATAGATTGCTGCAAGGTTATTCCGTGTGAAAGTGAGAGAAGAAAATTGCAGCAAGTGATACATTGAAGCATTTTTTTTCCTGTGTGTAACTAGTGACAACCGTGTAATATTTACTCTAGAAGTAGGCAAGGAAATGTTCTGTATTATTCTCAATTTGTCATCGTCCTGATTTTATGTGAACGTGATTAATGTGTTCGGAGAATCAGTCACTTAATTTTCCAAGTTAATTTTCTTTATTGTTTTCAAGTAAGTTAACATGTGCCTTGTTGCTTTTCCTATGTTTAGCCATGGTTGTGAATCATAATCTAAAATCGTAGTTGTAAAATGTTACATGAAGGATCAAGAGTAGATAAAGCTGGCAGTTTTCCAATGGGATTACCTGTGCCGCTCTAATCTGCTTGTTGAACGATCAAGAGGAAGAAACTCAACCCGAAAATGATTAAAGCATGAATTCCAACCAATTGGCAAATGAATCACGTGAGCTTGTAATGAGTTAAGAGTTTGGTTTTGTGAAGCGATGTTTGCAATAGTCGTAATTGGAGCAAGTTAGGTTTATGAAGGTGGGATTCAATTCAAATAGGTTTATTCGAATCAAGCTCGAAATATTATGCCTCTCTTAAAAAAGCTTATATAGCTAAGCTTAATTTTAACTTTTCTCGGCCAAATTCAAGCTGGCCCGTTTGGTTTAGTCAAAACTATCAATTTTACATATAAAACTGAAAATTTTAACAATCGGGCTCAATTCGGGTCGGATTTATTTAGATTTGGCTTAAAAAATCATGCCCACTTAAAAAAATTTATATAATCAAGTCTGATCCTAATTTTTTTCGAGCAAATTCAAACTGACCAATCAGGCTTTACCTGAATTACTGACTCTAATTTACAATGTATACTTATTTATTTAATTGATGTTATTATTATATTTGTAATTTTTTTATTGGATCGATTGTTTAACCACATTTAACTTAAAACTCTTACTGTAGAAAGCTGGCTTTTAAGCAAAGATTGGTGTTAGATCACAAGAAGGCCACATTTGCAAGCATTTTGATAGGAGCGTTAGACCATTATTATTATTATTATTATTATTATTATTATTATATTTGTAATTGACATTTGCAAATATTTATTTATGAGATTTTGCAATTATTTATCTTAAGTTGTATTATCTCCCAGCCATTCTAGCTACTGTGACTGTTTGAAAATATTTAGAAGATGCTAAATAATAAGGGGGGAAAAAACTTGGTACACTGAACTGAAATACTCCTTCCAATTAAACAAGCATAATGGGGTAACAATGAACGAAGGTTTCACTTTCTCTTTTTTCAGTATATTTGTCTAGACTTCAAAAATTCGAAAATATGCATATAAAAGCAATTATATAATAATGCCAAAAAATTACCCAGTAGTTCTTGTACAGAGACCAGGTCAGGTTTTCCTCACTTGGCGTGAATTACAACGTAAGCTTGTACACTAACACAGTCCAAGTTCAGTGTAAGTCCCACATCGGTGAGCGAAGCAGCGTGCAAAGGAATGAGGGCCTTATAAAAACCGAGCACGACCACAGAAATAATCATACCTTTCTCGGCCTTTTGGCTAAGATCAAGTGTAGTATCTGTTCTTATCAGTTTAATATCTGATACGTGGGCCATTGGCTCGCATGATATTAAATTTATTTTTTTAGGGGCTGGGTCCATCTCAGTGGCTTGCTGCTGGGGCCCGGAAGCGTCGCCCTTGTCTTGCACTATTGCATGGGCCAGGCGCACCCCACCAAGGTAGTTCTAAATTTTCAAGTTGGCTGCAACTTAATGAGTTAAAACTTGAGGCAGTTTTTGCTGTTTTCCGTCGTTAATGTTTACTCTACGGGTTGATTTGGAAGGTATTTACTATGCTAACGAGGAGGATTCCAACATTTGCACGTTCGATCTTTCTTTTTTTTTCTTTTAAATTTATTGTGGGTGGTTTGCTAGAACTTGTTTAGATAATTTTAATATTCTATGTACCTGTGCTAGGTTGAGCCTGCCTAGCTAGTCTGAAATTTATAACTTCATGGACCTATCACAACAAAAGTTCAGTTAACAAACTTCAGATGGAGGTTTAGAAGTGGATTAACTTTTCCCTGCAGAGTATATTTCTTGCGTGTTTTAGTTAGTAGCTAAGCTTTAATCCGGTTGAAAGGGCATTGACTTTATACTTGTTTGAATTGTTGAATGAATATCTAAATTATGTGTGGTGGTTCTCGCAAGACTGTAAAAACCTTTTGACTTTAAACATGACAAAATTTTAATCTTCATGCAAGGTTTTCCACCACGACATTGATGAGTCCTATTCTCTCACAATCCCTACAATGGAACCTCCCAATCTCACTGCAGCTACATCATGGGCGGCATCTGAGGCCTGGAGACTCCCTCAAAACTCGTATGGGGAAATCTGAATCGTGTAGCCGTGGGAAGTGTATGTTTAGGACACGCTGATCTTCATTCATTATAGACTCACATTACAAACTTGCATTCTTTTCCGTTGGCGGTTTCGTTCGGAACCAAATTTGGCTGATAAGGGGTTGTATGTCTTCGTATGCAATATTTCTCTTGTTGACGTTAGATGGATTGTTCAATTTGAGCTTATCTGAATCGAAGTCCTTTTTCTGGCTTTCTTTTACCTAGTATGGCATGTCACTTCCTTTGGTGGATTTGGGGAATATCAACATCAGCATTCATCAGAGGCAGAGCTAAAATCTTCAATATTGAATCAGTTACCATAGGAGCCATAGAACTTCCAACCACTTAGAAATACCATCCAAATACGAAAGACTATATTTGGTGTGATGAACCGCATACAAGTAAAAGAGGCGTGCCTCAGCTTGGTAAGCCATAAGTTCCATCGAAATGATTTCATATGGATGAAACATTAAAGCAAACAGGTGGTAGGCTAACTACAAGAATGGTTATGCGGGTGCAATTGAGATATACAGTTTGGAAAGGGAATGAATTGAACCGAGTCAGATGCGAGTCAAGGTAGAATAAGAAAGAGGCTAAACCCCAATCTTGTGTTTTATGTTTGCTAAATGGTAAATGTGCAATTTTATCATTTTATTCTTCCTTTGCCTCCCTACCAAACAACCCATGAAATGAGGTGAGGTCCTCGTTTCCATATTCTTCCCCTCCCTATCCATTTCCACTAAAAAGGTCTACTAACATGACCTTATCCTTAAATGAAGTCTCCAGAACAGTAGCATTGGCTATTTACTTCGCATAAAATATTTTCAGAGGGGATACACTTGCGTGTTGTATTTGTCTATACTCGTTTCTTTTTCTTTTTGCCAACGTCTATATTCATTTTAGATACCATTATAGCTCAGCAGGTCACCATATAAGACTTCACCAATGGTCCTTGCAGGAGCAGCTTCCACCAATGAAATGATGAAATCTATTCGAATCTCTCAGTATGATTGGCCGTCCAACCATCAAGGATACAGACTTCATGAAAGCATGGCAGTCATCACAAACACGTATGTTCTTTATGATCCTTATGGGTGCAACACCATGGGGCTTCCTCATTAATGCAAATGCAAGAGCTAGTTTCTCACTATGGTAGGAGATGGATCTAACCTTTTCTTCCTCCCCTACATCATGCAGAACAATCTTTGTATCTGGATTATACCCAAATTCCCGCAATTTTGCGATCAGGCTGGTCAGTTCGCTATAGATTTTTTCCACCTCTGGATGAGATCGATCTTCAGAAACAAACTTGTGAACTTCATTTTCAATCTCAATCCAACTGTATGCAGCAAACTTCTTTGCATTATTTCTCTTCATTAGAGATCTTATGGCAGCTACATCTTTCCATCTCCCACAAGCAGCATACATGTTGGAGATTATGATATATGGTCCAGCATTAAGCGGATCCAATTCAAATAGATGCCTAGCAGCCAGCTCTGCATGTTTTATGTCACACTTTGCAGTGCAAACTGATAGTAAAGTGGACCAAATTAAATAATCTGGTTTATGAGGCATAACTTTTATCAGATCCACTGCTTCACTGACATAACCTGACCGACCAAGGAGAGTAATCATATATGCGTAGTGATCCAAAGTGGGTGTCATGCCATGTTCAATGATAGAATCAAAATACCTCTGTCCTTGCTCTACCATATCTGTATTGATACAAGCGGATAAGACACCAACAAAGGTAAAATTATCAGGTTTTAACTTCTCCTGCAACATACTTTCATACAGGGCTACAGCCTCTGAACCCTGTCCATTTCTTGCATAACCCCTAATCATGGCATTCCAAGTAACAACATTACGAGTAGGCATGGCTTCAAAAATGACCCAAGCATCTGAAGTGACTCCACATTTGCAGTACATATCTACTAGAGCACTTGACACAAGCATGTTATCATCAACACCCATTAGAATGGCTTTTCCATGAACAACCTGACCTTGGTACAATGAAGCTAGTTTGGCACAAGAGCTCACCACACTTGAGATGGTGAAACTGTCAGGTTGAACATTTTCACGTAGCATATCACAGAATAACATCAAAGCATCCTCTTCTCTCCCATTTTGTGCATAACCAACTATCATTGTGGTCCAACAAATCTCATCCTTTTTCATTATTTTGCGAAACATTTTCTTTGCATCATCTACACATCCGCACTGACAGTAAGCATTGAGAACATTTGAAACAGTAATTTGGTCAGGTTTAAAACCTGATAACTGCATCTTATCAAACAAATGAATGCACTCATCAGGATTCCAATTTTTCACATATACAGAAATCATCAGATTCCATGAAACAACATTTTTAACGACCATTTTATCAAATAACCTCCTTGCCCTACCGATGTCCCCACAATTGGCATACATATCAATGATGGAATTGCACACATAAACATTTTGCGTGGAATTACCTACAATAACTCTCCCATGAATCTGTTTCCCAAGCCTGAAATCCAATAAATGAGAACATGCCTGCAACGCACTGACATAGGTGTACTCTGTGGGTTCTATCCCATCTTTCTTCATCTGTGCCAAAGCCTCCAAAGCTTTTCCTGAACGCCCATTGTTAGTAAGACTTGCTATTATTGTGTTGTATGAAACAGAATCACGATAAGGCATTTGATCAAAAAGTACAAACAAATCCTCAACCAACCCCAACTTTGCATAGGCTGAAAGCATCGCATTCCAAGAATAAATATCTTTCTTGGTCATCTTATCAAACAGATTTTGAGCATCTGAAAGCTTTCCAAATTTTGCATACATATGGAGGAATTGATTATGGACAAAGGCATCAGTGGGTTGAAAAAGGTGACGCTCCATGTGAGCTTGCAATCTCTTGGCTTGATAGATGTCATTGGATCGAACACAATCAATCACAATACGGGTATATGCCTCAGAAGTTGCACAGCCACAGGAGTACAAAAAGTCTATAGCTTGGCGAAGCTTTTGCTTGCCCTTCATCTGGTTCCAGTTAGCTAACCATCACCCCACAATCAGGTTGGATCAAAATCAACTTTGATGTTGCCTTCAACACAAGCATCTGCTCTAGAAAAATTTCTTATTCAGCTCTCAGTCTACATCATGTATCTAGCCAAACAACATAAATGGTTTGTAGGTGAACTTGAAGTTGAAGCTCTTCGTTTTCCTCGAGCATTGCAGCAGCAAGTTGTTCTGTCTGAAGTTCCGACTTTAACCACCATAGCTGATATTGCAAAACACTATCGTGAGAGGAATAAAAATCCATCTTCAGGCACTCCTACTTCCACTGAGAGTGTGGATTAGGTCTCTTTGCTGATGCCAAAAAGGGGGAAAAGTGCATAAGATGTCGTTTTTATTTTTGTTGTCCGGAAGTTATGTTTGGCAACAAAGGAACACACAGGATACGAAAAAGTAAACCCTAACCGAGTTTATAAATGAACGGCGAACGAAGAAGGAAGAATACAATCCTATGCTGGTTCAGCGGCGTGTTCTGTTCCGTAATTTACATGGAATCAACCCCGGACCCACTCATTATCTCCATATATATATCCATTTCATTTGAATTATCACTGGATAGATAACATAATAAATGAAACGATGAGATCTCTATGATTAAACACACACACATAAAGCGCCATTTGACATATATCCACCTTCTGTGGAAGCTCGAAATCGTAAGCTCACACATTAAGGCACCATTTAACATGTATTCACTTTCTATGAGAGCTCAAAGTTGTAACACTAAACCAGGAAAATACAATTCCTTCACTTTCTCTGAAAGAAATTTAGTATAGAAGAATTTGAGAAATCAGACTAGCACCACTCAAGTCCAATAAACATGATTTCATCAAGACGGCGACATGAGAAGGTAGCAGAAAACAGAGGGAAACTCACCGGAGACGGCCGACGGAAAGACGACGGCAAGATGACGACGCTGGAACAACGCAAGGCGGGACGAGGTTCAGCGACAGCGAGCAGAGTAAGGGTCTGGAAGGCGGAAATAGAGTGAAGCCCGATCAGAGGGAGGCCATGACGACGAGAAGAAACTGAGTGTGGCTGCTTCATTAAGAAAACAGGCCTTTCGTATTATTTCTCACTCACATTTGTAACATGGCTTGGCCCATCAACTTGTGGGCTAGAACCCTACGAATAATCGATCTATTGGGATTTTATGATCTATATGTGAGTGAAAAATAATATTTTCGGACTATACCAAAAAAAAATTATATTTTCAAATATATATGTATGAAGTTTTAAAAATTTAAATAAGAGTAAACGTGATTCTTTTTTGTTTTTATGGGAGTTCAAATGAAAGTTGTAATGGGTGGGGGGTGTGAGAAGTAAATTTCAGGGATATAAATGAAATTTGCTCCTTTTAATGGGGATTGTACCCACTTTTAAAAACAGGTTCGTACTCGATTGATCTTTTGTCTGTCCTCTTTTTGTGATGCATTGCTGTTTTTATTAGAAATATATCATGGTCGCAATTTTTTAGATAAGTCTCCCCCCATGTTCTATTCCATTTTGGCAGAAGACAAAGCCATTTTTGAGTTTCGAGACAAGATATGAACTATAATAAAACTCTAGGATTGGTCACTAGGACAATCCCATGCATAGTCCTAATCCGAATCATTGTGTTAAAATGACAAAGGCTTGCATAAAGAAAGATGCTTGACAGCTTGAGGGAGCACCAACTAACAAAGACAACATAATCCAACGAGTGAGCTTTCATTGCAGCACTTTGTCGTAAATATAATCTCCAAATACAGATTAATGTCTTCTAAGGCTTAATCCTCGCAGAATAATGAGACCATGATGCTTTCTAATGGGATTATCCAGACATAATATCCCTTCTTATTAAAGCTTTGACCCTAGAAAACCAACATTTGAACCTCACCCTATTCTTTTTGCTGTGTTCTCCCAATCAAGAGATTGCCAGGTTAGAATTCTCTTAATTTTTAAAAGTTCCTTAAACTCATCCAAATTAAAAATTGATAGGAACTTGCTTTACAAGCCATTATCAAAATTGTTACACCAAACACACTTTTTCTCACTGTGCTTAAATCACTTGCAGACACTTTCCCAATCACGACAGCACCAAGATAGCCTTACATAGCAAGAATATATTACACTATAATTAGGCCTTTTGCTTGTATGACTAATCCTTCAATTATCTAATTCTATAAAGTTAGCACTGCATCCCAATTCTTATTCCCAAAAGCCAATCGACCTTCTTCCTATATAAAACACTACGTCAGTAAAACAGCTTGTCATTTCCAAAAGACAAGTCTCCAAATATATGTGCATATGCATATTAATTTCAAACCCACCTGATGCAAGATGGCAATGCACATGATGCAACAAAGGCACCAATAATAGTTTCTGAGCCTAGCTTGCTTTTCCTATGGTTTTCCATCCATATATCATCATCTGTTTCAATTTAAGGACGTAAGTATGTGAAAGCTTGTGGAGGCAGTTGGCCCTGTAAGATTTGAAAAGGTCAGAATGAATTACCTCTACTCTAGTTAGCCCTTGAAACTCTACTCCAACTCCTGAAACTTCAACCCATTGTAGATGGAAGAATCACTTACCGATTCTAACTTTTGTTTTCGCAGAAAATACGTTGACAAACTGACAGAGAGCAAATTGAGAGGCAGAGGAACCATATTTATCAGTTATTCTCATGAAGAAAAAATGTTCCCTCCCTGATTAAGAATTTAATATTAATAAATAATATTAATGAATCAAATGAAATAGGACTTGGGCTTTTCCCATTAGCACATCAAGGGCAGATAAAATCCAACGGGCCTCAACAACTAAGAGAATATCACGTAAGAGTGACCCCAAAAATCGCAGCTGTCCCCTCTTAAAATATTTCAGTCTCTATCTTATAGCGCATCCCTTCCCTTCCTATTATGCCCTCCACTGTGCTGTGTGTTTCTGAAGATTTTTAGGCTCATTACTTTATTTAATTAGAATGGAATGAGTGATGATTGATTAAGAAACACCTCTTGTTCATGCTTTATTTAATTAAAATGAATCAGTTTTGTGGCATTGCTGATATCATTGTGGAAAGTTTTAGACTCTCATGGAGCAGTTGATTAAACAACTCTGCTGAACATTTATTACAGATGAGATTGAAACTCAAAAAATTTATCAACGAATAAATTCTCCTCATATTTCTTCATCTCTTTTCCCTCTTGTTTTAGCATATAATTTCTTTGTTTCTGTCCTTTGTGAGGCAACAAAGACTGTGAAATGAATTTCTATATTTCATTGAGATCAGAGCATAGTGGAAACCTTATTTAATCATGCTGATCATATTAGTCATTTTCCAAAAGTACCAATGATATGCAAATGGACTGGCTGGATTAGAATAATCAGTTACATGTGTTATATTGCTTGTGTGGTCCTAACTAATTTACCTCAAATAA